ACAGCCATCAGGTAATGTTGGTTGTTTAACAATGCAACTGGAGATGTAATTATTACTGAACTTGCATTTCTTTCTTAACCACTGAAGCATTCGGACTTCTCTCGCGAACGTGAGTGTCGATGCCCTCTTGGCCTGTGACTAAGAACCATATTAAGCTGCCCAGAGGCTGCCTAGTGTTTATACAGGCTCGTTCTAAAGTAAACTTTTTTCTTTTTGGGATAACCAAAGTTGTATCATAGCCGAAGGGCTGCTTAATTTCATGTCTAGTTCTACAACAAGTGTTGACAGCTAAACTCTCCATATCCAGATATCACACCCGCAAACCCAACCCAGAGCACCTCCATCCCAATCCAACCATCCACCGCACCATTTCACGCACCCCTCGCCCGAGTCTTCCCCTTCGCACTCCCAGGACTCTCCCCCACCCTCCCCAACCTCGCCACAAACTCCTCCCCCTGACTCCCCCACCACTCCTTCAACCTGGCCACATACTCCTCCTCACCTTCTCCAATCTCAACCGGCGGGCCGCGACACTCGGTGACGCGGTCCCGCTTAAAGACAGCCCAGCTGCTGCTATCCTCGCTGCGGAGCGCGAACCCCTTATCCTTCTCGGCCTTGACTGAGAAATTACGCAGGAGGACGCCGTCTCCGACTTCGACGTCGGGGAGCGCCTCTTTGTACGGCCGGAAGACTTGGATCTCTACAACGCCGGTGGGTGCGATGGAGGGGTCCGTGACGTTGAAGCGGAGGTGGTAGTGCCGCGGCCCGTGCTTGGCGCGCTGAGCTTCAGGGGGTGCGGTGGTCGCGATGGCGATGACGTCGAGGCGTTTGCCTAGGTTATGGCGGAGTACTTTGAGAGTTGTGAAGTCGCTGAGGTTGGTGCGGAGGGCCTTTGTGAGACTGGCACGGAGGGCAGTTTCAGATAGAGGCTGCAAAGGGGTCTTTTGGGGGGTAGTGGGCAGCTGTTTGGAGGGCGGTATGAGGTCTTTGGTGGCGGTTGGGAGGGTGGCAGCGTGGACCTTAGGCGTTGTGGGAGCCTCAGCGCGATCTTGAGATCGGGTGATGCGTGTGCCAGTAGGTGATGTCGATCGTTTTGATCGAAGGTTGTGTTTTGGGGTTTGTGGTGATGGCTGGGGCTTTTCTGGGGGGGCGAGAACCTTCGGTGCAAGATGTGCTGCGGCGTCACGGTCCTTGCGTGTGCTCGGTGTGCCTGTCACCAATGACGGAGAACGATCGGTACGAGCACTTATAGGAGAAGTGGCTGACCTGAGGCTCATCCTTTTATCCGCCGTTGGTGTTACTGGAGGCTGGAGAGTATCCGCTGTCGCTTTCGCTGATCTGGTGACTCGTTTAGTAACCTCGACGAGCGCCTCCTTAATCGGTTCAGTGCTTTCGACGCTGCTGTGTACGACTTCATCTGCCACAACTTCGCGAGTTATGACGTCGTTTTGCAATTGCTTTTCCGTCGATGTAGCGAGTGACGCATCTTGCGATAGCGTAAAGGGTATTTGAGTAGCGTCAGGTGTCATCAATTGGGCGTTTATTAGTTCAATATCGTCGGCTTCTTCTTCTTCTTCTTGAGGCTCGTCAACAAGAGTCTCTTGCGTTTCTACAATGCTGCTTTCGTCCTGAGGTAAAGTAGGATAAGCTACTTTGGCTAATGAAGAAGTATCCTCCCTGATATCCGCGACCTGTGCCTCCTCGAGCTGTTCCTCTTCGAGATGCTCATCCTCAAGCTCTTCGTCCTCAAGTTGATCGGCCTGAAGCTGCTCATCTAGGTTTGCTCGAATGTTTGCGGCTACAGTTTCTTGAATATTGTGATCAAGTTCCATCTCTACGGGCTGTGTAACCGTAATTTTGGTGACTTCTTCTTCGCCTGCCTCCACTGGGACATCTTCAGCCATAGTAGAAGTAGGCGTTTTCTCCTTCGCCGTTTTCAGGTCCGCAGGTACATCATTTGCGCCATCCATGAAGCGCTGTTCGACAAGACCTTCCTCCATAGTGTCATCTTCGTCTTCATAGCCTCCCAACTCCTCCACCATTGACAAGTTTGCGTTGTCGGGTTTAGGCTGTTCTAACTGGAGAGTGACAGCTGGCACTTGTTGCATCTCTACCTCGCCCTGCACCTGTGTGGCCTGTGGGGTAACCGGTTGCCATACTTCCGTAGCTTCGCTTGGTTCTTCGGCTTCTAACTCAGGACCCTCAGAGCCTTCGGACTCCTCAGATTCCTCACTTTCTTCGTCGTTTGGATGCCCAATGGCCATTTCCTCTTCCTCCGACTCTTCATCGTACTCTGCTTCTGCTTCTGCATCTTCATCGAGCTCTTCGTCTTCCATTACATTATCTTGTACATTATCTTCCACATCCGCGAAAGACGAGTCCTTATGAACAAGAGGCGGCTTGGGTCCAGGCTTTGGCTGTTCCTCCTCGTCATCCGACGATAGGAGATCTATAAAGACCGGCTCAGCCTTCGCTGCGGGTTGTTGTTGCTGCTGATGAGCGGGGCCTAAATCCTCTTCGCTCATCTCCTCGTCTTCGTAGCGCCGTTCGCCGCCTTCATCAAAGTCCTCTTCCTCTTCTAATTCCTCGCCTTCTTCATCATATAGAGCCTCTTCACCACTGTCTATCTCGCTACCCTCGTCATCGTCTGAGAACTCTTGTCCTTCGGATGGATGGTCTTCCTCCCCGAGCTCGCTTTCGCCTCCTTCATTACTGTATCTCTGCTCGACGGCCACACCGCCTTGTTCGTCGGGAAACTGTTGCTGGCGATAATACTGCTCAGGGGCTTCCCTGGGCCTTATTTCGATTTCCTCGCCAGACTCATCTTCTTCCATTTCTTCATCTAGACTAATTTGACGACGGTCCGCTTCTTCATCGCTTTCTTCGCTTTCTTCTTCACTCCCTTCTTCGCCCTCGTTAGTCGCGACTACGTGACCGCGGTCATTCAGACGATACTTCGGTGTGGTAGGTTGACTGTATCGCGGTGCGGAAGCCTCTCTACTTGGAGCACTGGGTATCTCGAACGTACTCGGCGCGGTTGCCCCAGGGACGTGGGTCAAGGATTCCCATGCCGGTTGGGCAGGTGTTTCCATGGAAACATCAGGCAATTCTGGATATAAAGACTCGGCAGGTTGAGCGAATTGTGGGGCTGTAGAATCCCTAGCCTCTTCTGGAGCTTCATGTAGGTGCTCACCATAATCATCATCCATCTCGAGGGGAAGGCCATGATGTAGCTGCATTGGCTGATCCGGTGGATATGGCGCTTGGAAGAGTCCGTTCCTTTGGTCTTCCTGATAGCTTTCAAACGTGGATGCTGTAGGTGGAGCCTGTGGGCTGTGAGACCTGGGCTGTTCGAAAGGGAGATTCGGCCTCAAATTCATATCGGGCACTGATCCGTGCGAGAATCCCATATCCCGGAATATTGAATCCGGCCATTGTGCGGTGGTCCCGTTTGCCTCCATTTGATGTGAAGCTGGCTGCGCATGCCCAGCCGGGAACGCGTCAAATGGTGGAACAGGTGGCCTGTCGCCTTGATCCTCTGCAAATTCCATCCGAGTGTCTTGTAGACCTGGAGGCTGAGGTGGTCTTGCCTCCCTACCAGCAGCTTGAGATTGTCTAAAAAACTCCTGCATCTCGTCGCTGTATTCCAGGCCGTCTGTCTGGCAGCCTTCGTCCGTCATCGTGGGCTTCTCCTTTTCGGGGGGCGGTTCCTCCACCACTGGCTCTTCGACCTCGATTTCTTCTTCTGGACTTGGGGAACGGCTAATATATCTCCAATCCCCTGACTTTCGGCCAAATCTCGACCGTTTTCTGCCCTTTCCTGGTACAGAGCCATCATCTTCTATGAATGTCTCAAAATCTTTCCCAATAAAGGAGCCATAGGATAGCCGAGCGCGCTTTATAAATGCCGGTGACGACCATTCTCCAGTTTCCTCCGCACGTAGCTGGTCATGGCGTGCTGTTGGAATTGGGCTTCCTGGTGGGGGCGACGGGTTTGCCAGTGGCGTCTCGATCTCAGCGACTCGGTCCTGTTCGGGCTCTTGGGGAGGGTCGTCGAGATTAATAAGGGCAATATTTCCACTTTCGCGCTGTCGAATCTGAAAGGTTGCTGCGATCAGTATGGTATTAGGCTTGGCGGCAGCATCCATCTTACCTGAAGCACCAACCGCCCCGAGAACTTCAGCTCCCACTCAATGCCTCTGCCAGGAGTTTGCGCAGTACTCGCACTCTCAGGTATCCATTCAGCCCCATTCAAGGAGACGACCAGTTCATCTCCACTCCCTATTCCCGCATCGTAAACATGCTTCGCGCTCGATCCCGCAAACTGAACCTTGACCTGGCCTCTGCTGCTCCGCAAACGGAAGTCGGGCTCGGCCAGAAGCACGGAAAGCGTTTTATTCGAGGAGCTGTACGGCCATATGAGCGTTACTACTGCCTTGAAGTAGCAGGACTGGAGGTTTGGGATGGTGGGCTCGAGCTTGGCGATTGCGACCTGCTCAGTCGCGTCGGCGTGGCCGTCCATGGCGCCTCAAGATATCCGTCGGTACTAGGTTCCTCGGTGTCTTGTGTACCATCGCTGCTTTACGGAAGCTGTGGCATATCTTTGCGACTAGTTCCAAGGGTGTAATAAATTCGTAAGATGGCGCTGTGGCGTCTGGTTGTCTTGTTTGGAGAAAAGACCTGATACCCGCAGGGCTGTAGGACGTGATGGAGATGTATCGACGCTAGGCGGTGTGGGAGGTTATGGCAGAATAAGACATGATATGGGACAAGACATCGCCAAAAAATTCCGACATAGTTACTAGTTACTTACAGTAGCCCTAGCTATATTTTTTTTTATAACGAGCATTGGCTTGTCTCACAGATAATTCACATCCGTTATCTTATATGGCTGTAGTTTCCTTGTCTATTCCTGCTACTGTGACGATGGGAGTGTTGGGGTGGGGTATGACTTGTGGCACCTACATATTCTCAATTATTCTATACCTTTCAATTCAAAAGGGCGCTTGGTCTAGGGGTATGATTTCCCCTTCGCAGATCATGTGGATACATCCACTTGTTTCTAGTATGGGGAAGGTCGTGGGTTCAATTCCCACAGTGTCCAATTCGAATTAATTCTTTTTTTGTGATTTTTTTGTAATTTTCTTCGCTTAATTCGCTTAAATTCGTTCGCTTAAGCTTTTTTGTTTTATGTTCTCCTTGAACTCGCTTACTTCGCTTAACCTTTTGTTTGTTTTTCCCTTACTCTCGCTTACTTTCACCTCGTGTATCCAGAAGCTGAACAGTATGATATTTTATCATCTTAGCAACCAATTGCTCCGTGCTATATCGCCAAACACGGCTATGAGATTCTTTTCAACCTCGCTGGAGCCTTCCGTATACTGGTTATAATGTTAGAGTCTTGTTCTATAGACTTACTGACGAAACCCTCCGGTCTGTATGAAGTATATATAATATATTTCTTTATAGAAATATTAATAATCTTTACGTTGGCCTATTTAAATCGTTGTAGCTTATAGATCTCGACGTCTTCGCCTCTAACTAATATTGCAACATATTTTATTAAACTGCAACAGTAAGATAGACTTAGGTATCAATTGCCTTTGTCGATCAAATTTTGGGCACTACTATTTGCCCAACGAAGCCTTCACAGATACAAAATATTTATCTCAAATCTCTCATTGCATCATCTATGCAACCTTATCTATATGAAATATGAACAACACCCCATACTTCGTACCCGCAACCCCCTGGAGCCCAGCCGATAGATATACTATTAAACCCTCTCCCCATCTCCGCCGCAAACTTATTCTCACAACCACACCATCCCCCACGCAACCACCCCCGCCCCCAGAGCCCACGCCACCGCCCACCCCGGCACGATGCCCGCCTGCGTCCCAGCACCAGGCAGGTCGCCCGTACCCAAACGGGGACCTCCCACAACCGGCAGCGTAGGGCTGTCATCCTCATTGGTGTCATCGGTGCTGTCGTCCTGGATGGGTTCATCAGACGATGACGAACTGCTCGCGGTCGGGCGAGCGGGGGTGGAGTTCAGCGCCGTGGTGGCCCGCGCCGGGGTTGTGAAGTCGTTCTCCTCGACGGAGGTGCTTAGGTCCTCGAGTCGCGCGGCGGCGCTGCGGGAGTTGGCTGCGTAGACGGAGAGGACCGTTGTTGTTGTTGTGTAGGTGGAGGTGATGGTTGTTGCCTCGATGGCGTAGACGTAGGTGTAGAAGTAGTAATAGTACGACCTTGGAATTGTTAGGGATATGTGGCAAGGGGTGGATGGATGAGGGGGGCTCACCAGTAGAGAGTGGTGTAATAGTATCTGTAGACAACTTCCGGGGCCTCTGTCGTCTTCAGGGGAGCCGTCGTGCTCGTTGGCGCCCTGGTGACCGTCACGCTGTTTTTTACATATGCCGTGCAAGCTGAATCCGTGCAGCATTCTTGCCAGCCATACTTCGGATTCGCGACGCATATGTTCCCCGGCTCGCACGGCGTCCCATCAGAGCAGCATATGTTGGCCTCGTCTGTGCAATAGTCGCCGCAGCACTTATCCCCCGCCTCGCAATATGTACCCCCGGTGGGACAGCAGACACCACCAGCCGGCTTGCAATCACACGTGTCGCCACAGATAAAAGGATAGGCGCAAGTCCCATCAGTGCAACAGTCGTCGCCTGAGGATTTCTTGCAGTAACCATTGTTTGTGCAACAGCGGTCGGCAGTAGGACAACAGTAACCATCTGCGCAGCAGTTAGATTTGCAGCCTCATGAGACGCTATGTGACTTACCTCCGCATGAAGCCTTGTAGGTACCCGTACACGCGCGCCTTTCGAGGGCGACTGGGTTCAGCCACTTGGCGAGCAGAGCACGTCCGTCCAGAGCGACTGCGCTGATGGTTGACAGGTTATACCTTTTGCTGTCCCTCAGAACTCCCTTTCCAAACGAAGGGGCATTGTCACGGGCGGCGATGTCTTCCGAGCTGGTAATAGCACGCTCATGGTCTCGAGCAACGACGTCGGTGAGACCGTCCAAGGTGGGGCTTATGTCGCTGTTGCATCTTGCGACTTGCAAGATCAGCAAGGCTGCAGCGCCTATGACACGTAGACTACGCATCTTGGCCTTCAAGTGTAATAAAAGTGAGAGGAAAGTGGAAGTTCAGCCGTTCAAATGGCCTTGAGAGAGGGCGCAATAACAGTAGAAACCGAGTCCGTATATGGGTCTCAGATGCATCTATTTCAACTTGAGATGATTTCAGTTCCCCGCGGAAACCTCGGTCAAGATATGAAGGCGAGCTCATTTCTCCTCACAGTTTAGTGAACCTTTATTGTTCTTGGCCAAAGGTCTTATTGGCACATCTGGGATGGCCACACCTTGATGGACCCGGTGTGACTTTTGATAGCATAGTAAAGTTGTGGAAGCCAAACGCCACCATGCAGATTGATGGAACTATCAGATAAAAAGGTGCGAGTGAACGCGACAAATCGGGACATCATACCTCCGGTCTTATATTTGAACGACCCGGAGCCTCGTTTGGCGGCTATTTCGAGTGTCTCAAGGCGTTCTTCATACGTGACCTTGATCCTTGATATGGTGCTTCCCCTCTTTTAGTGTTGGCATTTGACAAGGGTTAGCTTTATCTGGTCATTAGGAATGAATGTGGTCTTGGTCAGATTGCCATGGTGGTAGTCGTCGGCGTACCGGAACGAAGTTCTCCGACCTGTCATTTCTTTTTCAGGGAGGTCAAGTTCATGACCGCACGCAGACGAGGCAGAGCATCAGAAATCTTGTAGTATTTGGCAACTGGTCTTTTGATATTGGGAGGAAGAATGAAAAAGCCCCTCGGCGCAACCCTTTCGCGAGAGCCAAGAAACCGGCTCAATGCCCAGCTCCAAATATCTCCAAAGCTGACCCCCAATCCGGGACAGCGGCATGTCATGGGACAGATGCGATGCTTGGGAGGCGTTGTAGCTAAGATGGAAGCCTTGTGTATAGCAAGGCGCGACAAGTCAGAGACGAAACTGTAAGCACGTTGTGTTACCTCGTAAACGGTTCAGGATTATATCCGTAGCAACGAAATGGGAAAATACTCCGTGCGTGGGAAATCAAAACGGTGTTGTGCATATATGCTATTTGCCTCCTGCCCTACATGTCAACTCACACCGTCAGCCTCTGGCTGCGTAGGAATGTACATAAAACGTAGCCTCGTGGCCAGGGGGGATCAATCGGACAACGCCATTGACCTCATGCTCGACCAGCACCGACAAGCACATCACATGGTGAGAAAGCAAATCAGAGCGGCTGAGCTGTGTAGGTTTACCAGAGGTATATCTTTCGTCATATGAAGCTATATAGCAATTGGAGAAGCACGGTTGGCGCGAAGACAAGACATACCACCGATAATGGGACTCTTTCTAAGAGGCCAAACTGTCCCCGGTCCTATCTGTTCCTGTTCCTGACTTCGAAACAGCTCAACAAAGCCTGTATATAAAGAAAAGAGTGTCCCATGTTTCAGGTCATCATCGCATCATGGAGCCTCCCGAAGGGGCCCTCGTGACAATGGTTTTAGAAATGGGTTCTAAGGGTCTTCTCGACACACGGATCGAAATTCGCAGCTGAGTAGAGTAAACATGTCGAGCTGTAAATGAATTTTTACGATTGGTGGTCTTGTTTTGTTGAAGAAAGAAAAGAAGGGAAAAAGAGAAGCGACGAACAAAAGTTCCGTTTTCTAGCAAAGTCTTGGCGGAACACTGTTAGTGGAGTCCTGCAAGCGATACGGCCAGACGGCGCTTGCCATTTCTCGAACCAAACTGGCACTACGCCATGCTAAGTTAAGAGACGAAAGAGGCATATCAAATAAATGCTTTCACAAACACAACTCACACACGAATTATACGAATATTGATACCGCACATCGAAACTTCAAATACCACATACCGCCTACAGCTATTCCTTTACTGCAAACCCCATACCGCACTCTCAAATCGACATTCAACAAAGTGCAACATCGAAACATCGAACATTGCCCCATCTTCCTTTGTCCAGCCTTCCGACTCTCTGTGACGCCTTTGGATCCTAGAATCCAAAGCTCGATATCCCACCAATACGCCCCCCAGCCGTTCCCCATCGGTACTAATGGATAATTTATGGACTCGCCGGACCAAGTAAGCCAGCTTCAGTCGCGGTGAGTTGTGGTTACAGCCGCTAATGTGTGCGTCAACAGTAGCAAGCTTTCTCTTTCCACCACGACAGTCCCTCCCGCCACCACAGCAGCGAGCCACAACGATCACCCAACCCGCAACTATACTCCGGGGAAGAGGTTTGGCGGGGACACCTCGTCACATGGGAAGTCCAATCCCTTCAACGCCATCCCGCTGGCATCACCAGCCGTTGCGTCGCCAACTGCGGGCGCATCCAGCGCCTTCGGTTTAGGCTCTGGCGCATTCGCCTCATTTGGCGCATCCGCAAAGACTCCAAAAACACCGGGCGGCGCTCTAGATTTCGGAAATGTTGTGAGCGGGGCACCGACGCCTTCTGGTGAGAAGGGACCGGTAGAACCTGGCCTCACGCGATCAGGTCAGAACGCCTCCAGCGCATCTCTGAGCGAGGCCAAACACCCCCAAGCTTCGGCGCACACTCTGAAGCACGGTTGGGTGTTTTGGTTCCGCCCGCCGATCCAAAAATCAAATGGCTACCTAGAGTATGAGAAAACTCTGCATGCCATGGCAGCATTCGACTCTGTCGAAGACTTTTTCGCGATATACAAACACCTGAAGCGCCCCTCTACTTTGCCACTGGTCTCCGACTACCACATATTCAAGAAAGGCATCAGGCCGGTGTGGGAGGATGACGAGAACAAGAACGGTGGGAAGTGGATTGTACGACTGAAGAAGGGTGTGGCGGATCGATACTGGGAGGATTTACTGTTTGCCATCATTGGCGACCAGTTTGGCGAAGCTAGTGAGGAAGTCTGCGGAGCCGTCTTGAGCGTCAGAAATGGCGAAGATATTATAAGTATCTGGACTCGTAATGACGGCGGCCGCGTCCTCAGAGTCAGGTATGTCGCACTCTTGAACTCTTTTGTTGTAGCCTAACTCTAACATCTTT